AAATCTCTCCCCACTTTTCCCCGCACCCCCTAGTAAAATGACTTCCCAGTTCCCGCGGCTATCCTTGTGCATGACGAGTCTGGATCATGGATATATGGTCTGGATCTCTGGATCTGCTGGATCGGTTGCGGCTCTGAGTTCCACACGACTCACGAGTCTGCAGGAGTGAAGGAATTTCCCTGATTCAGTGAGTCAGGTATTTGCGAATCTGAGTCTGCTGTGACTTGTGCATGATGAGTCTGCCTGGATCTCTGGATCTCTGGATCTGCTAGGGTTACGGCTCTGAGTCTGCACAAGTCTGCAGGAAGTTTCACTGATCCGCGTCTACTCCCCTGAACCAAACGATAACTTCTGGCAGCTATCCTACTTGCTAAAGGCTAGGCAGATGGACTGGGGTACGTTGTAATGTGATTTTACATGTTATAAGGAGAGTAGCGAGTGACGCAATTTATAGTTTTAATTTGTACGTCACCAGGTGTAAGACTCAAAGGACTCGGGTTAATGGAGAGGGGAGACTCGTCACGACCAGCTCATTACTAGGATTTGGGTTAATGATCCGGATGAATCAGGACTCACCCATCTCTATACCCCAACAACGTCCAAAACACATCCTTAGAATGTTGCAGGCAAAATGTTCCACCTTTGTTAACATATCACATTAAAGGAACATTTTATAAAACACTTTCTGTCTTCTCAGGCCTCAATAACATCCTGACAACATTTTCAGAATGTTTCTTGGAGAATGTTCTTCATTTGTTATCATGTAACATTAAAGGAACATTTTATAAAACACTTTCTGTCATCTCAGGCCTCAATAACATCCTGAAAAGATTTTCAGAATGTTGCTTGGAGAATGTTCTTCATTTGTTATCATGTAACATTGAGGGGACGTATTATAAAGAACATATTTAATTTGTTACCCCAACAACGTCCAAAACACATCCTTAGAATGTTGCAGGCAAAACGTTCCACCTTTGTTAACATCTCACATTAAAGGAACATTTTATAAAACACTTTCTGTCATCTCAGGCCTTAATAACATCCTCAAAACATCTGAGAGAATGATGAATGAGAACGTTCCCCGCTAGCTGGGTTACCGACACTGAGGAATGCTGACTTACCTTCACAAATAACAATTATTGAGAAATATAGAACCAAAAAGAAGGGACAACTCAAAATATGTCTTTTGTCTTGGTAAGAAAACCGCAAAACCAACAGAAGCTGGAAAGCTACTACCCTACTGCTGATACCACTCCCAGATCACAGACAATGTATGGAAAATCTATCCTAAAACATGGAGCCAGACTTTAATTTGCTGACAACACCACATTCATTAGTATTATCACATCGCATACATGAGAGATGAGGCAAGTCTGGTGACTCTCTCATCTCAGATAAGAACAAAGAGATGATAATGAACATGAGGAAGGAGACTCCACCAACCGCTGACAATCTGTGAGGTAGAGAGGGTCAGCAGCTATACATTTCTTAGCTTGCACATCATTGATGATCTCACCCAGACATATAACATCACCCATCTGGTCAGGAAAGCACAACAGCGGCTGTTCTTTTTCAAGAGAAATCTGGTATGAAAGCAAGGATTCTCAACAGCTTTTACAGCTTCATCATAGAGACTAGCTGCATCACTTGTGGTATGGTAATCAGAATACCTTTATTAGTCCCACAGAGGGGAAATTTGCAACAGCACCGCCATGGACTGCAAACACCTTCCTAGAGGTAAAGACTGCTTAGAAGGTCATCAAGATAAGCACAGAGGAGCCAACAGCATTACTACGGACCCTACCCAACCACTCATGGAGAAGGGTCCATTCAGGACTTTGAGGCTGCATATAGCAACAAATGCTTTCACTTGGATGGTCTCAACTCTTAGAGAGCAACATAGCAATATTTTTTGTCTTTTTCAGCTTTTCAATCGGCTATAGTTGGTCTCATAAGTGATGGTGGCAAAAGTTTTGCATATACAAAAGTAAGTGGCAATATTTGAAAGAAGAAAGAATTGAAATACAAATATTTATGACACCATCCCCTCAGTATTAATTATATATAGAAGTTGCATTCACAAGGTTAGTAGTGAAACATAATTTTGCATCTTTGGAAATAGTTTCAGATGATTACTGGAATGATAACGTTACCTTACATTTTAGCATACTTAGCTTAACATGTTAGTGTACATATGTAAACATATATTTTACTAGTACAAATATTAAAATGTAGAAAAGTTTAGGTACACATGCAATAGTTTAATATAATAACGCCAATACCTATTTATTGACCATTAAAATAATATGGCTATTATCACTTTGTTAGAAAAAGTGGTGGGGACACTTTTTGCAGATAAAAAAAACACTACTCAACCCGCAAACAATACATATACATACACATGCTTACAATAGCACTTTTTTGGAATTCCCTACAACTAGTGCAATACAATGCTACACTGCCGCAAAGCAGGAGCAACAATTGCTTTACTAGTCTGTCTTCAATTATTACTAATATTAAACGTGTTGCTGGTCCAAAGAATAGTACAAAATATAAATGTTGCTTAATTAGAGCTCATGAAAATGACTTACTGTTCATATTTTTGCAAGGCTGTCCTTCTCACAAAGGGCACAACTTGTTTTTAGTAGTCATAAGGGACAAAAAACAAACACCATTAATCTAGGGACTGTAGGGGAAACTTCTGTGTAGCAATGCAGTGGGAGTCACCGACTCATGAAGGAGACACGGGAAGAGCAGGAGCTTTGATGTCAAACACTGATGGTTTATTTAGGAGCTTCGGGCAGAGGATTCACGTCATAAGTCACAGCAGTCATGGTGTGACTGCACGGGAGAGTTGCTACGTCAAATCTGAAGAACTCTACCCCAGACCCATGTATTTAGCTAGTTCAGAGAGAATCATCAACATGCTGCATAACAAGATAGAATCATAACACCTCTATCAGCTGATGCCAACAGGCAGGAACAGGGAGACAGAACACTGAGAGCACAGCAGCCAAGGTTACAGGTGCGTGTGCTCAGTCAGGACAGTTTGAACTGATAAACCTTGGTCAAAGTTATGGACCTTGGAAAATATTTCCCCAACAGGGACCAATCGTGCCCCCACAGCAATTACTGACATTTGAGTTCCACATTCCAAACACAGTATTGGCTCAAAGCAACTAATGTAGCCTAGGCTAATTCCAATTACTGAAAAAAACAATAATGACCCAAATTGTAGCAGTAAGCTAACGAGTACTGAAAGCTTTATTTTGTTTTGATCCAATGCTGCACAACTGAACTGATCCAATGCTGCTGTGAAAAAAAGAACCTATATCCATGTTGGATAGAATATCCAATTTAAATAAAAAAATAACCTTAAGGGACAACTTGAATGCTTTTTTTTCTCTTAATGCATTGCATAAAGATCGGATCGGGAAAAATCGGTATCGGCAAATTGTCAAAATCAAATGATCGGAATCGGATCGGGAGCAAAAAAAGGTGATCGGGACATCCCTAATCATAACACCTCTATCAGCTGACGCCAACAGGCAGGAACAGGGAGACTAAACACTGAGAGCACAGCAGCCAAAGTTACAGGTGCGTGTGCTCAGTGAGGACAGTTTGAACTGATAAACTGGGTCAAAGTTATGGACCTTGGAAAATATTTCCCCAACAGTGTGACATGTTTACATTTTGTAATGTTCAAAAAGCTCTTTATTTTTCTGCTGCAGCACCTCTTTTCACCCTCTGTCTGAAACCAGAGCCTAGTCTGCTCTGATTGGTTCGCTGGCTGGTTTTGTTGTGATTGGACAACCACTTAGAGATTTCCCACTAGCCAATAGTAGCGCAAGTGTTACATAGTGATGTCAATATGTTACAGTAGAAAATCAAATGAGTCCAATGGAGGTGTTTCAAGGAGGACGGGGGGGGGAAGCTTGTGGGATAAAAAATGGATTTTAGCCTTTGCAGACCATTTACATGCACTAAAAACGATATAACACACTACAGGAAAGCGAAACCCCCAAAAAGCATAGTAGGGCCTCTTTAACTAAATGCCATTGACAGCCCAGATAAACATGTCCCAGTAGTGAGAGGAAACTATGATCTACAACCCAACAGGTGGCTCAGAGAGGCATATCATCACATTCTCACATCACCACCCCTCTTTGGTGTTCGCTGAGGCGTTGAGTTGAACCATCCACATGTGACATAATACGTGACATGAGTAATAACATGTCTGTCTGTTTCTCTCTTTCTCCTTTTTCTTGTTGCAGTCAAAGATCTCCCAGAGGCAGCAGCGCATGATAAAGAACCGCGAGTCGGCGTCCATGTCTCGGAAAAAGAAGAAAGACTATCTGCTCACGCTGGAAGGTCGCCTGAAATTTGCGCTGTATGAGAATGAGTCGCTCAAGAGTGAGAATGGCAATCTGAAGAGGCAGCTGGAGGGCATACTGAGTGAGGTGAGAGGCCCTGCTCTGCTGATAGACTGTGCACAAAAACAACAGCTCAGAAATGTTCCCAAGAATTACCCATGAATAAGATCTGTGAGTTTGAATACAAGATATTTCCTACAGAACACGGTCCTGAAGGTGACGGCGCCCAAGAGGAGAGCCGTGTGTCTCATGGCGGTGTTGGTGTTCGTCATGCTTAACGTGGGACCAATGAGGTGAGCACATGATGCATAATGTGCGGCTACAGATCTCTCTCTGTGTGTCTTAAAGTAGAAACTTAACTATTTGATTAAGTTTGGGAAAGCTTAAATTCAGTTTAAAGCGGAATAACGCTGATGTTGGCTCACGGTAGTTTGAGATACAAGAAGATTACTGCTAACTGCAACACACTGTGGATGCACACGAGTTTCATTAGTGCAGGAAAACCAATGGGAAGCCCCACGATGAGTCATTGTGGAAATCGCCCCTCATGTGAGACATTACACAACAAACTGATTGAAAACAGAGAAGAGCATTTCCAATTCAAGCACATTCACCCAAATCCACTTCACACATATTGCAGTTGAGAAAAACTTTTTAGAATCAGAATCAGAAATATTTTAATTATCACATTGTCACAAAAAAACGATTTGCTCCGGGTGGCTAAAGTGTTTCTGATTGTGACATGTTATTAACACATCGGCATAAAATAAAAAGTTGTCAAAGTAAAAAAACAGTCTTACTGCTATCAGCGATTTCTGTATAACAATTGCTGTGTCTACCTATAGAGTATTTCTTTGATGCATTGTAAGGTGACTTTGGGTGTCTCGAAATGCGCCTACATTAAACAATTATTAATAAAACCAAAATGAATGCAAAAGATTCATACATATTGATCGTCCTTAAAAGGCACCTGATCTTAGCAGTAACTTTTGTGGTGCAACCCAAAGTACTGCAGCCCAGTCATGCACATACTGTAACAGTCAATCATGAGTGAAAGTAAAGAACCCAACAATAGTTCATCACAAAGCCAATTGGCTCTTGTGTGAATCTTCCATTCCTCTGTTGTTGCTGCCAGAGTTTATCGGACTTTGTGACTAACGGGTGAATCAGCTTCAAAACACCGCCCTGGGTTTAGAGGGAAAGTTAACATTACCACTGACAAATGTAAAAAAGAAAATCATTCCAGGCTACAAAAGAAGGATCAAACATTTCTACATGGCAGTGTTTCTTATCTCTGCCTATAATATCAACCAACACGGCAAATCAAAATGACTTCACTGGGAAAAAGGGTTTATTTCACGAGCAGATGGAGAGATGGCTTAACCCCACAAAATCAACTGAGGTTCAACTCCAACTATAACAATAAATTCTGTGTTTGTGTTATACAAATATTTGCTTCTCCTGGGAATAGCTTTCTCCAGAAAGATGTGAGGATCTACTTGTTGGACTGACTAACGATATTCTTTCGTGGCCTGAGCTGGGAATATGTTCTCAGTTGTTCTCTAGAGCCTAAACATGAAAAAGGACCCATGAATGAGTTTGCTTTTGTGACTCCACATTAGCTAAAGTGTGTGTGTGCGTCTGTACCTGTTGCTCACATCTGTGTGTTCTGGGTTTGGGCTCCCGTTTGGAATGTAAAGTATTCCCGCTTTTGAGCACGGTGGGGTGGATCCCTTTTGAAATGAGAATGCCACCCAGAGAGAGAGTGAGTGAGTGTGTGTGTGTGTGTGTGTGTGTGTGTGTGTGTGTGTGTGTGTGTGTGTCTGTGCTCGTGTGTGTGTGTGTGCTTGCTTGCTCGCTCCACTGTGTGTGTGCGTGCTCCTGTGTGTGTGTGTGTGTGTTCCTCTGTGTGTGCTCGCTCCACTGTGTGTGTGTGTGTTCCTCTGTGTGTGTGTGTGTGCTTTTGTGTTATGCAGTCTGGACCAGAGTTCAAATTCTGCTCGTGGCTAAAATGAAAAAACCCTCCTGTGCACGGGATGTGGGCCACGTGGAATTGAGCAGTTATTTAAGTCCATTCCCCTGTTCTTCTTTTCAGTGTTTCCTCCCCTTCTTAGTGTCCTGATTTGGCCTCTCCTGTCTCTCCTCCTCCCTCACCTGTCTCTCCTCCTCCCCTCACCTGTCTCTCCTCCTCCCCTCACCTGTCTCTCCTCCTCCCCTCACCTGTCTCTCCTCCTCCCCTCACCTGTCTCCTTGTTCTTCAGTCTGTTTCAGGGTGGCCCTGGCTCAAAGCTCAGAGATGTGTCCCTGCAGCAAGGCGGCAGACACCTGTTGGCTTTCTCCTCGGAGGCAGAAACTGAGGCTGGGATGGACCCCGATTCTCTCGGCCCTGGCCCCTCTGAGACGGGCGACAGGTAATGAGCTCACCCCCCCCCCNNNCCCCCCCACACCTTTCATAACACGCCATGGCAGTGAGCACGGATGCACCTGTGCCGAGGCTCAGTCTGAACGAGCACAGCTCATTACGACACGAGTAAACATTGCAAACTCTATCTAAACGTCTGCTTTTCAGATGCCTCCAGGCTAGTATGCTAGCATTTTAGCTTTGAGTAACAAGTTGGGAAATTAGGGTCAGACTTTGTTTGACATCCAGCTTTATATAACTAGTAACAGTTTATTATCCTAAAGGGTTATATATTTTTCTTTCTATTTAAAAAATGCGTACAGGTCCATTTGTAAATTGCATAAATAACATTCTTGTTTGGTACATTATACCTCCACCCCCCTGTCCTGAAGGCCGTGTTTTGCAAGGTGGTCAGAGCGTCTGCATGGCATTGCCAGTCTGCGTTCTGTCAGATCTCTCTGTAGGGTATGTTACATGTTAATGCAAAACATTCGGCTGCAGTGTCAGGTTTCCCGGCAAGTCAGGCAGGAAGGAACACATTAGCCTTCACAAAAGGGGTGACAGCAGCAAACGCACCCGAGAGGAGGATGACGGGGGAGATATGAAACCTAATCTGGGGGTCCCACTGAACAGGAAGGTGTGTGTGCGGGTAGGTTAATACCGGCCCCTCAGGTAGAGTTATGATCAAGCCTCAGTGGGCTGACATGTTGTCCCGCAGAACCATTTCCAGAACGTTTAGAGACGGGAACACGAGGCGTAGTCGATGTGTTGGTTCGGATCAAGGGGGCCCGGGGGGGGATATTACGTCGGTGGCGGGCATTTTTGTATTAATCCCCTCGCAGGTGGCCACCGACTGTGGACAGTCTACATCATCACCTCAAGGAGCATAATCATTCATTCACAGAGGTAGAACAGTTGTAATTGAAGTCACTAACTTGAAGTTATGCAATGCAGAGGCCTGTTAATCCATAATGCATGTAAACCCACTTTAGTAGTGACGACCCAGACTGTGGGGCTGTGTTTTCATCCGTCACTTTCTATAATCAGAATGGATGTGATGACCATTTCTCTGTAGCATGTTTTAGGTTAGGGTTCTCAGCCACATATCTCTCCTGACATTTATGATGGGGTTAGTCATAACCGCAAAAACACCTTACACAATAAATGACTCAAACATGATAATATTTTCACCCGTTACACCTCAGTTCAAGAAATGTAAAGGGGCCCGATTTTGCTCATGCTCATGTTCAGGTTCATATGTGTATTTTGTGTCTCTACTGTGACATGTCTACATACTTTAATGTTAAAAAATTGTCTTTTCTCATACTGCCTGTGCTGCAGCACCTCTTTTCACCCTCTGTCTGAAACCAGAGCCCAGTCTGCTCTGATTTGTTAGCTGGCCGGCTCTTTTGTGATTAGTCAACTGCTTAGAGATGTCCCGCCCCTTAGTCTATCATGTCACGCTAGCCAATACTAGTGCGAGTGTTCAATATTGCTGTCACTATGTTTCGAAGGTAAACAAAGGGAGGGAACACATGAATTTCATCCTTTGCAGGCAAAAAAAAGGACAAATGATCCTATTAGTTGTATTTAATTCAGTAGTCAGGGAGACGCATCCTTGTTAATGTTAAACTTCAGAACAGTAACCGGGTCACTATGTGCCTCTAACAGCTGCTGAGGATCCCTCACACAGGAAGCTATTCTGGGAGCAGAGACATGAAATATACTGCTGTCAAACCAGTCTAATGGGGGAAGAGAGAGGTGCAGGAATGAGTCCTAAAACCAGGAAATGAGTCAGCAGTTTATCACTTCCTGTTCCCTTGTCTGGAAGTCAATGGTTTTCTGAATCTGTTTTTGGTTGTTATCCTGAAATAAGGTCTGTGGTTTACACAAGCTGAAGAGATTTCAATAAAAATACGTCAGTAAATACCCCACTGGTGAAACAGTGGATGCTAACAAGAGTCTAAATTAGAAGATTNAGGCGATTGTTTTCCACCATGACACCGTCACCCATATCCTAGATATCGCTGCAGATGTACTAAGTGCAGTGTTGATCGATTTCCTCCGATAACCACATATTCCTTGATGTCGGAGACCCAGTAGTAACTGACAGGCAGTTGTGGGATTCGATGTCCACGATTACAACCTCAATATATTCTATGAGCGGTGCCCAAGTGTACTGAAGGCAGTGGTAGGCGATTCGATTTCCCCGATTACACAATAATTTCCTAATAGATGATTCGACTGCACCAGTGCTATGGAAGGCAGGGTAGCGATTCGATTTCCACGAGTACAACCATATTTCTTATGTCGGTGCAGTGTACTAGAGGCAGGTGGTGCGATTCTGATTCCACCGATTACAACGCGATATCTCCTGATGCCCCGGGAGGGGGGGGGGGGGGGGGGGGGGGGGGGGGGGGGGGGGGGACCGTTTGGAACCCAGGCGACGTCTCTACTACTAACAGGACGCCGACCTAGGTGCCGAGGGCGGTGGCGTGGCCTAGCAAATGACTGGCAGTCGGCCTACATTAAGGGACTCGCCTATTGCCTTAAGGACTTGCCATTGGTGCGACGTGGACCGGACGTTATGTGTGCGTTTTCTCATAATTGTACTAGACTATTAAAATATATTATTATATGTAATACTCTCCGGTAAAAGAGCTATAATGAAAAGTGTGAAACTTGTCGCTAAATTTACGTCCTCCACCTACCTGAATGTAACGTAAATAGACATTCACAACAATGGTAACCCACCCACCACTACACAAACACAACACCCACAACCCCGCAAGCACACACACAACACACACACCACACCCACAGTAGACGTGGTACAAGTGTGCGGACAAGTGGGCTGCTGGAGGTCGTCGGCGCACTAGGAGCAAAGGCATCGCTGCACAGCTGGACGGCTGGGCTCCAGTCGTGGACTTGGTGTAGTTGTGTGTGTTGTTCAATTTTATGAATATTTCATGTTTAGCTTGATGTTATACTCTAATCACGGGTGACACACGTACATCCAGGAGATCATCGGTGTAATCGCGGGAAATCCGACATACCCCACGACACGACCGACACCCACTACACTTTACCAGTAGCCACTGGTACGACACATCAAGGAAAGATCGGGTAACAGCTAAATCGCTGCATCGAATCGCACCCACACAGCACATCATCACAACAACACACACACACAAGTGAAGTCATGTGACCGTGCTGTAGTTCCATTATAGCCCAACATTAGCCGCCTTTAGCTTAGCGGTGGTGACGTGAAGTCATGTGACCGTGCTGTAGTTCCTTTATAGCCCAACATTAGCCACCTTTAGCTTAGCGGTGGTGACGTGAAGTCATGTGACCGTGCTGTAGTTCCTTTATAGCCCAACATTAGCCACCTTTAGCTTAGCGGTGGTGACGTGAAGTCATGTGACCGTGCTGTAGTTCCTTTATAACCCAACGTTAGCCGCCTTTAGCTTAGCGGTGGTGACGTGAAGTCATGTGACCGTGCTGTAGTTCCTTTATAGCCCAACGTTAGCCTCCTTTAGCTTAGCGGTCGTGACGTGAAGTCATGTGACCGTGCTGTAGTTCCTTTATAGCCCAACGTTAGCCGCCTTTAGCTTAGCGGTGGTGACGTGAAGTCATGTGACCGTTCCTATATAGCCCAACATTAGCTTTTTACTTCTGGCCAATGGAGAAATTCCATTGGCTTTTTGTGGACGAAACAAGGGAGATGCTGCCTTCAGGGTCTACTGGAGAAATATGACATCCCGCACCACTTTACATACAGAGAAGGGTGGGAAGTATATCAGAAAGTGGAAGAGCCGTGCAGTTTATGTCGGTTATATACACAGGGAGGCTGTGGCGTAGTGGACAGGTTCAAACCCCACTGCAGTCAGCATGTCGTTGTGTCCCTGAGACACTTCAACCCAAATTGCTCCTGTGGGGATTGTCCACAGTATTGAGTATGTAAGTTGCTTTGGATAAAAGCGTCTTAACAAGTAACATGTAATGTAATGTATTGCGCAGAAATTTGCAAATAACTTGATATAGTTTAAATAGATATAGTTTTGTGCATCAGTTACTCTTTGTATTCCTGCACTCCTGGTTAAGCTCGGCTTCTCTCCGTCCTGCAGTGACGTGTTGAGTTTCCTGGTGACTGATGTCGGTTATTCTGAGGCGTCCGTTCCTCTCCTAATATAGAGCTTCAGCTGCTCATTTAACCAGGAAGCAGCATGCTGACCCTGGCGGCTGAATAATGAACGCTGTGGCTATAATGAGAAAAATATAAATGTGTGTGTTTTCCACCCTGGGCCCTCGCTGTTGTTCTCAACGCTGGACATCAGGGGATGGGGTGTCATTTTATAACAACATAATGACTTTTAGTTTGAGACATTTCTGTTGGGTGCAATGACAAAGCATGAGCCGTGCAGTTTAAAGTTCCCACAGGCCCTGAACACAAGTCAAACCAGAGGTCAGCAGCTAACAGAGAGCCTTTCAGTACTTAATTTTACTGCACAATCAATACTTTTATAACTTGAACTTTACTGGTAATACTTTCCCCTAAGTATACCGTTTTGAATGCAGGACTTACGGCCCGTCTACACTACAGGCATCAAAAAATCTTGAAGCTGGGCGTGTCTGAAGCTTGGCGATTTTTTGCGACCAACAACCAATCACATGAATCTCCCGCCCCCGACATACAAAGCAATAGCAATGTTAAAACGAAGTAAACTGGATATAAACTCTCCAAACAGGAGAAAACCTACCAGTTTCACCCACTGTCTCTGCCACCTCCCTCCATGCCTGGTTCCTCTGGTTTGTATCCCGGTAAATAGTTCTGGTCGTAAAGAACCTCGTGATTTGCTACCGTAATATCTCGTTTGGAATATGAGGAAATGAAGTCTGGCTCTCCCAGCTTGCACGCGGTTTGATTGGCTGCGCTTGCACTGGCGGGATTTGCATAAACGGGATTTGATTGGCTGATGCCAAGCATCGAGCCAAACATTGTTCAACTTT